TGTTGACGTATTGCGTGTGTGTGTGTGTGTGTGTGTGTGTGTGTGTGTGTGTGTGTGTGTGTTTGCTCCTGCAGGGTGTGGTTCTGGGCTGTTTCTTCGGGCCGGCTGCGCTCTACATCTGGGCTGTGGGGATCCTGGCTGCGGGGCAGAGCTCCACCATGACTGGCACATACTCTGGGCAGTTTGTGATGGAGGTGTGTGGATCTGCACGGAACAATTATATATATATATATATGAAGAGTTTAAATGCAAAAACTTCAAAGCCATTTTATTTCTTCTAAAATTAGCATTTTTCTCTGACTCCTGTGTGTAGGCTTGGTAATTTTACTGTTATAGTGACAAATAAGTTGCCTTTAAAGTGAATTAACTGAACAGAAACGTTGGAGGCTGAGAAAAATGTTCATTTTAGGAGAACATTTCAGACGGCATTTAGAGTTTTTTGCATCTGAACTGTTCATATATATATATATATTCAGATTTATGCACCCTCCTGTGAATTTCCCTTTCAAATATTTCCCAAATGATGTTGAGCAGATTCAGGAATAGTTCACAGTATTTCCTCTTCTTGGAGAAAGTCTTATTTGTTTTATTTAATTAGTTTTAAATTGTTTTAAACTCATGTTAAGGTCAATATTATTGGCCCCTTCAGCAATATTAGTGTTGGATTGTCTCCAGAACAAACCACTGTTATACAATGACTTGCCTAATTACCCTAACTTTACCCTAATTACCCTAGTGAAGCCTTTACATGTCACTGTAAGCTGAACACTAGTGTCTTGAAGAATATCTCGTCTAATATTATTTACTGTCATCATGGAGAAGAGGAACACATCAGTGATTAGAGATGAGTTATTCTGCAATGCAAGTTTATCTCTCCAGCACATTTCATACACAATAATAATTCAGAGTGCTTCACATAGACACGAATAAAAGAGGCAAGAAAAGAAAAGAATTAAAAATGATTTAAAACAGATGGAAATGTGTTAAACAGGTGATAAAGCAATGAGAAAGAGAAGGCATAACAGTGTGATCTATATCAGCACACCGCTCGTTCAGTAAAGGCTCAGCTAAACTGATGTGTGTTCAGTCCTGATGTGAATGAGCCTAATGCTGGAGCACGTCTGATCATTCTGAAACGGTCATGTGTGGAATAATCTGCTCTCTGTTGATCAGAAATTGTGGGAAATGCACATGAGGGCGACTCATTCAACTGTACACACTGTTGAGAGTAAAATGATCCGCCCCCCTGTTGAATATTCAGTGATTATCAAGTATTTCTCAAGTGATAATTAAAGGACATATTCACAGTTTCCACATGTCTCTCTGTCTCTCAGGGTTTCCTGAACCTGCGCTGGTCCCGCTTCGCCCGTGTGCTGCTGACGCGCTCCATCGCCATCTTCCCCACCCTGCTGGTGGCCGTGTTTCAGGACGTGCAGCATCTCACCGGCATGAACGACTTCCTCAACGTGCTGCAGAGCATGCAGGTACACACACACACACACACACACACACACACACACACACACACACACATTTACAGACACTATTCTGATTGCCAGTGATTGTTCAGTCTTCATCACGCACGCACACACACACACACACACACACACATTTACAGACACTATTCTGACTGCCAGTGATTGTTCAGTCTTCATCACACACACACACACACACACACACACACACAAACATACAGACACTATTCTGACTGCCAGTGATTGTTCAGTCTTCATCACACACACACACACACACACACACACACACACACACACTCTGTTCAGAAGCGTGTGAAACTGATTGTGGAGCTGCAGCTGATCACAGAGAGCTGAACAGATCTTTAACCCCAGTTTCTGCCGACATGTTTATATGCGTTACTATGGAGACATGTTAATACGCTCCTGTCAATCAATATGAGTGGGCGGGGAAACCGCACTCCTACATCAGGCTGTGGCGGCCTCAGAGAGATTTAGATCCTGCTGAACATCAGCAATATTAGAGAGACGTGCTGTGTTTCTGTCACTGCAGCATGACTGAGGACACACTGCACTACACACACTTCTGCACACACAGCTCACACAGATGACTTTGCATGTTGAATTCTCTCTCTCTCTCTCTCTCTGTGTGTGTGTGTGTGTGTGAGCAGCTGCCGTTCGCTCTGATCCCCATCCTCACCTTCACCAGTCTGACGTCTCTCATGCACGACTTCGCTAACGGACTGTGAGTATCAGAGTCAGCTCTGCTCTATTCCTCTTCAGCAGGAGTGGTGATCGACCAATCAGAGTCCAGCGTTCCTCAGACTGGTGTAATACAGTTCTGTATCGTCAGGGAGTCTGTGTCTCTCACACTGCACTGGAGTTACTGTCTGAGAAGCTGCAGGTAGATGTGTATAATGCTGTGGTGTTCTGAATGCAGATGTTTACTGCAGTGTGAACCGCTCATCTGCTGCTGGAGGCATCATGTCAGCTCAGATCATCATCACTGCTCTGTCTTCTGTTCACTCAGATCAGCCAACAATGTTGGCAGACACTGTGGATTATTACAGTGTGTGTGTGTGTGTGTGTGTGTGTGTCATATAGAGAGGGTGCATTGATCAGAGTGTGTGTGTGTGTGTGTTTTCAGCGTGTGGAAGATCGGCGGGGGTCTGCTCATCCTGCTGGTGTGTGCGATCAACATGTATTTTGTGATTGTGTACGTGACGGATCTGAACAGCACCGTCCTCTACGTGCTGGCGGCGCTGCTGTCCATCGCTTACCTCAGCTTCGTCATATACCTGGTGAGATCAACACAC